TTTTGAGCTTCATATGGGCATCGGTTTAATAGGTCACAGTACATAGCTACTTTTCTAGCTAGCTATGTGTTGAAGATTGACTCGGAGAATGCATAGCTATAGACAAATAAACAGTGATCCCTGCTCGGTGGACCTTTATTACACATCAAATGAGCAATAACATCATTCGTCCTCAATGAATTTAAATTTTAAATAAGAGTTGAGAAATTTTTATTATTTTTTTAAAAAAATTCATCAATAATAACAGTTATAATATTGTCGTTAATATTTTATAAGTTATACAAACATATAAAAATGTGTAGAAGAATTGAAGGCATTGGAGTAATTTCAAAGTATATGCGTTAGCAAATATGAGAATAATATTATTTTGAGTGAGAACTTTAATAAAATAATTGCTCCCCATGCAACGCACGGGATAGCACAATCTAGTTTTAATTATAAGACTTCATTCCTAAACTATAAGTGAGATCTTATAACTAGGACTGAAGATAGTATTTTCCACAATCTTAAATATAAAACCTATTTTACAGTGCAACTAACTACAAAATGAGCTAATTATACTACAAAATAAATTTTATTTTATTTTTTTAAATTACATACCGGTGCTTGAGCTAATGGTTAGTGTTTTCTTGGTTTGACCAAACGTTATTGGTTAGAAAAAATTAAGGGAAAATTGCTGAAGAGTCTGGGGGAAAACAAATAATACTAAAAAATGTCAAGAAATGAAATAAATATGAAATCCCTTTAGACTTGAGTGTGATCTGAAAAATATGTGAAAAGACACCCTTAAACTTAAAGGCAAAGTAAAGAAGGAGAAAAAAGTTTGAGAGATCATGACTTGAATGAAGATGCACAACCTAAGGAACGTTGGTCCATGGAAAGCTTCAAGATCAGCATCTTACCTTCACGGTATACGGATGCAGAGGAAGCCAATATTGGAGTCAGAGTTCAATTTGAAGGGTATGGAGGTGTTTCTCAAGGAAAGTCCATCTACCACATCTCAGTTGGGTTTTTGGTTGGTACGGATATGATCTGCAGGAATCTGAATAAGAAACCCAATTTGGGGTTCTTAGAATATCTTAGCCCATTGCTTCAACTGTTTGCGGGTCTAGTATATTAGGAACTGCTCTTGAATTTTCAATGGCTCTTTTTTTCCTACGGGATTTTCTTTAGCTTTATGTTCAATGCTTTCTGTGTTAGGTATCAGACGTGTCTTCTTTAAGCTTAGTGTTCCACTCATATTTGCAAGGTCTAGATTTCATCCCAGCATCATGATCAAGTACAGCTTTGGTGAAATTTCTGAGTATTACAAGCGTTCTCACTATTTATATGGGATTGCCGACTTCAAGTTGTTTCTTTGCCCATTTTATTCAAACCCAATGTGGGTAGATGCCCGTTATTCCTCTTTTGAGAGTGAAGTTAGTGGCATAATCTTCTTCGTCAACTTTTTGTTGATGAATTCTTCATCTCGGGGAGCTACCGTTCGAGAATTCTTCAGAAGAGGCATTACTTGCTCATGTTCTGCATATGGATCTTCAGCTTTGCTTTTGTGGATTGACATCGATTTTATCTTGCTGCAGCTAGTTGGATGCTATTGTATCCTTTTACTCTTTATGGTGTTGGAGGTTTTAATTATAGTTGTGGTGCTTGTGTCTGAATATCTGTTATACTTGTGGAGTCTAATTATGCTGTACCAACGTTCTTATATTCTAAATATATTTGATCATTTTATCAAAAGAAAAAGGAACCCTTGTCCCTTTTAAAAGACACAACCTCGTCAAGCTCTTTACAAACAATCACCTACTGGTTACTACCAGTTTGGTTGATTATTGCCATTGCCTTCAAATGTTATCTCTTCATCTTCAAGGTTTCATTTGAAATCACCTGTAACTTTTTGTTTCCAAAAGGGTTAACGTTTTAGATATTCTGAAAGTATTCACAAGCCAGCACTCAATACCTTAAAAAATCTTTTTTGGCTTAAATATATTCAGGAAGTTTTATTTTGGAGCATTTGTGCTTTGAATTATCATATATCGTTAAATTTGACTTGTTAAAGACATGGGTCAAACCGCATCATTTAATGATCAAACTTAACGGTGAATAATAGTTAGGATATATTTGCTACGAAATTTTCAGAATATTTAAGAGTTAAAAAAAAAAATTCACGTACTATGTACTCCTTCATAAAGACTCTGACAGTATTTAAGCACCTTATTCCTTTTGAAAACCATTTGCCTGTGCATATATGAACCCTGCTCTATTATTTACATGGTGATACTATAAGAAGTCGACTTGGGCATATTACACGGAAGCATCGGCACCTTATCATTCTTTTATTAAAGAAACTGACTATTTTCAAGAAATTACTTTCACTTAAATTGAGTAAAATATGTAAAATGTCCCATTTTGCATGATACCTACAGAACTTCCCTACAAGAACACAGAATCTGAAACTGATAAAGACGATAAGAGTAATAGCCTGTATATAAAGTGATACTTAGTGATATACAAAGTGCTTCATATGGGGACAATAATTAGAATAGAGGATCTATACGGGGGAAAAATATTTATAAACGAGCATCAGGCCACAACTCTTTCATTTATTCATACTCAGAGTTTACATTTATTAATAACATTATTCCATAATGATTTTTAACCTTCCCTGCCACAAATGTTATGTAACATTGAAAATCATAATGCTTATCAAATCTCAGTCATTTAAAAATTTAATATGGATAGTCCATATTTCATTTTTTTATACTTCTGTTTCTTAACAAATTTTTTTTCCTATAATAGGTAGATAATCCAAAATAAATATAATCTTTTGATTATAAGTTTTTTAAAAAATATTTTTTATTTAAAAATTATTAGTTAAAAATTTTAAATATAAATCATTAAAACTATATCTGAGTGGTATAGATTTTACTGCAACAATGAGTATCATGGTGTTCATTACTATGATGAATACCGAAACTGACGAGCATCAAAACTAGTTCCCAATGTAGTAGGCTCTGCTGCCAAATTACCCACTGCTGACTGATTTCTAGTATAGCCATATCACCGTGGTAGTGAACAAATAAAATATATTAATCAATCTCTACAGAGCATGCGAATATCCTGATCTCAAACTACATAACTAATTACAAATAAACCCATGACTTACAAAATATCATTATAATATTTAATATTATATTTAATTAAAAATTTACATTACTCATGCAATATTCTGTGGAACTTAATGTTCAAATAAATCCAATGTGGATCCCTGCTTTAATTTTGCACGCAATAAACTGTAAAATTTGGATGTTAGAGACGAGTCTTTTGTTTAGCGATTTGTTTAGTTTAAATTACACTACAAAATATATTTTATATTTATATTTAAGATCGGAGAAGGAATAAATAACTCAAATATGAAATTGCTCCCTCCCTCACATGCTCTCTGGATACCTTATCTAATGTCATTATTTCATTCTCTTTCCTCAGTATACTTTTTGAACAACTTTAGAGATTAATGTTCAAAACAGAGGAACTATGGGAGACAATTACGCCTTGCCTGAGAAAATAACTGAAACTAGGCAGAGATGATGATACTCCATAAGGTCTGCAGAGGAAATCAGCACAAACCGTAAGAGAGGAGAGGTTTCAAACCAAAATTGGAAGAAAAGGGAGATGAAACACAGTTGAAATTCCAAGCAATTGAAAAGTGATTCAAAGAAAACATATGTGATGCAAAGGACAGGCTAAAATGAATTCACCATGATCAGGGAAGTCATTTTGAAAATATAAATCGAGTGTTTTGTCTTTTCTTTCCTTACTTAGCTTAACGATATAGGGTACCATTTTAAGTTAAAAAAATAGCAGTTCATCATACTTATAAGGTTTGGTCTCTTGAGTTCATCAAGATTAGAATCTGCTTCTAAATTTAAAAAGTACTTACAAATATATTTATAGATTACTCAGTAGCAAAACCCGCATCTTGACAATAAGATTTGAACTCATAATTTTTTGAGTTATGAGCTAACTCTTTAATCACATACATACTAAGTACTATTCACAGTTGTTGATTTATCGATCCTCCTACATATCTATTTTTTTTTTATGGTTTCTCTTATTCAATGATTTAATTTAAAATTAACCCTAAAAATATGTTTTCTGTCATGGAATTGTTTGAATGAGGTGAATTGCAATTTTTCCCTTACCCCACTTATTTGGTTTTGATAATCTCTGACATAGAAATTTTAGTATATTTATTTTTATATTATAATCAAATATATCATGACTATATGACATTTCAATAAAGAAACTACCTCATTTATAAATAATCAGCATTGTATTTTGATTCTCAGCAGATCCTAACAATATGGGACCTCCACCTAATTTTATATAGAAAAAAATTATTAGATAAATAATTTCCTTTACGTAGAAACAACTTTTCTTCCTTTCTATTTTCTTTTCTTTTCTTTCGTTTTATTAAAAAGTTTTTTTTTTCCTTTTATCCGTAAAAAACTAAGGATAAAACAATGACGATTTTGGCGGCAAGCGTTCTATCCGCACTTTTGAATTTACCATTCTACCCTCAACACCATCTTCGCCTCAAAACTCAAAACATTAACGGGTGAAACTAAAGACACAAACTTTCTTGATTTTGAGATTCGAATAACAAAACGAATTCTTCAATCTAACAACAATTGAATTCCTGTCTCGAACATCATTAATTCACATATTGAATTGCTATAACATATTTATTGCCTTTGATCCATTTATGCAACCCGGGCATTCTGTTATGAAGTTCTTCATCAATAGCTTCATTTTTCGATTTTTACGGAACTCCCATTTGTCAGGTCCTCTTTCGCAATCTCTTATGCTTTTATGTTTATGCAGAATCGTCTATTTGTCCTTGGGAAGCTAATTGATTTTCTATGTTCTGGAATTTGAAGCAGAAATTAGGAGCTTGGTTGGGAAACATCTGTGTAATAAGAAAGTTGTGCAGGTTGTTCTTCATGGGGAAAGGGAACGATGGGTTCTGCATTTTTCCTCTTACCAGTTTGCAAATTGGGTAATCTCTCTCCTCTTTTTTTCCCGGTATAAACAAAGTGGTTTCTTTTTTTCGCATGTACGAAATTGTTCCGAATATTAATTTAAGAATACTATTATGTGATTGTGAGAAAATTAAATTTATTCGCAATGCATTATGATTTGTTCTTTTTTCTTTTAAATTATTATGTGGATGGCTTGTTTGGAAAACCCAAAAACACTTAAAAATACTTTTCACGCAATCCAAGAAAAATGCCTGTCATATACTTACAGTGCAAATAACTTTGTTTGTACAAAGTTAGTTGGATCGTATGCATGTTATGTCCTTTTGCCTCATATTTAGAAATTTGATTTTAGTTCAAGTTCATTATTGTTGCTTGATCCCTAAGTCAAAGGTTTTCTTATATGATGCTCTTAATGCTGCCGAATTTTGAGCTTCATATGACTTATTTAATCCAAAAATAGCAAGTACATTATACAATTAAGTACTAAGTGATTAGGATTTTCAAAATAGAATTTATGAGACTTTTGGTATCTCAAAATACAACAATGGCAACATTGTACACTTTGGCCCTATTTTAATATGTTTTGTTATAATTTCTATCAAGCATTCAACTTGTTAATCATAAGAAGTCAATTTAAAAAAATAAATAAATAAAGAGCACACAAACTCTAAGTGCATATGATGTTGCTTCAGTTAACAGTATGGTTTAATGATAACTGCATAGATTTTTAGGTCCCATTTGTTAGGAACATTAAGAGTGAGAGGTAAAGATTGAAATTAGGATTAAAAATACCCATTGAAAGAGCATTTAGTATAAATGATTACTTGCTTGGAACTGAGCAATCCCAAGTACCAAGCAATTGCTTATACTAAACATTTTTAGTGAGTTTTCTCAATCCCAATCACAATCCTTACCTCTCATTTTAATGTTTTATACCACATGAAACCTTAAGAATTCCATTAACAAAAGTAATAGAAGTATGAGGAAGACAATTAGTCATAAAGGAATTTTTTGGGTGCATCATTATCTAGTGCAATTACGTTATTCAATGACCTTGGATATTGTATGGTGTTATTTTCTTAATTTCTCTACATTTGACAATATTTTAAGCATATTTTGTGATGTAATTTTTCAGAGATTTGCAGTCTTACCTCTCAAATATTAGCCTTTTCCTTGCCAATGATAGTAAAATGGTGTATATTTTGGTTGACAATCGACCTTGGTTGAGAGACTTAGGGTACCAGAGCACACACTTGTGGCAATTGATGATTACCAAGGTGACTTAACCACATGATTTTATATTGATGTTATTTCATCCTTGAAACAAACCTACATATATAGCTTTCTAAATTCCAGTCAAGGTTATCACCTTTTGCCATTTCCAAAGCTCGCGGAGATCAGAGAAAGGAGGTTTGTGAATCGAGCACTACAACTAAACAAAACAAGTTTCTAAGCTGGTCCTCATTAATCCAAGAATTAACGCGCTCGAAAAAGAAGGTTACGCTTCCTGTAAAAAATCTAAGGAATTCCCTGCCCTTCTGCTTTGAATTGCATAGGACCCTCTATGGCTTTATTGTATTTGAAGTTGCATGGAAAAATGTTTGTGGCATCAGTTATTTCAATGAGCTTCAGGTACAATTTCTCTTACATGCTCTATATTATGTTTGATGTTTACCTTCTATCCTACTCCCTTCGTTTCTTTTTTATAAGAAACAATTAACCAAATCACACAGAAAAAAGAATTGGTTAAAATTAGTTAGAGATAATAAAGAGGATTGTAGAAGAGAGAGAATATGTGGTGGGGAGAATACCTCAAGGGCCGTGTGATAATAAATGTATTGATATTAAAACGAGTGATTAAATGGGAAAAATGAGAAATTAATAAAGAAAATTTGAATGTCTTTTATAAACAGGAACAAGTCACTCGTTTCAGTTGTTCTTATAAAAAGGAACGAAGGGAGGGAATATCATGTACTATGGGTCTAAACATTTTTATTACTCGCAGACTGATACCTTAATGTACATCCAAGCTAAATTCATGCAAAGATGGGAATTTGATAGCATAGCTCAAGCAGCAAGTTGTATGTCTTTGTGGTTTTCAGGAAAGCTATCTGAACAGATGCAGTTGAAAGAGCATTTGGATTCTATTGCAGGTAAGTAAGACAGAGACTCTTGACTTCTGTTTGAGTGTGCATCTCATATGTTTGAACAATTGGATGTAGGATAGTTTTGATCCACTATTATCCTTAAGGTACAAAAAGTATTCGGTTTTAGAATCTTGCTGAGTGTGACTATTCAAAATTCAGGGGACCTTATCAGTGTTGCTACTTTATGCATTTTCACAAGGTTTGCCTCATCTTTCAACTGGTCCATTTTATGCATGATATAACTTGACAAGTCACTATTGTTCAATGACAAGAGAATATGATTTTTTGCTAGAACCTTTAACTTATGGACTGAAATTAAGTATTTATAAATTTGTTTGATATCTGCATTCTTCCTTCAGGGGATCATTTTTATGATGCATGTGAAGATCTTTCTGGAACTGGACATGGTGATAAGGATGACAAGAATAGTATCTGCAATAGTATTCTAACTGCTGAGGATAACTCTGTCAATGGTCTGGACACAAATATTGAAGAGTTTTCTGAGAACACTAAACAGAAACCAGGCATAAAACTCACAACTTCTCCCCTTTCTGGACCTAGTAAGAGAAGAAAAGTAATTAATTCATGTAGTGATAATCCTGACGAGGTTGAGAATTATTGCAAGGAAATGCAATCTTTGACAAATTTTGAGACATCTAGTAATGTTCCTGAGGATGCAGCTGAAGCCACTCAATATAAGGATGTTCTAATATCATTTAGGTTTAATGACCATGACCTCCCTTTTAAATTAAAAGAAGTTATAATATTTGATCTTCGATTACTTACTTTGTTAGAGGCGGGGCTCCCATCTTGGGTCATCTTCCTCCAGTCATACCCAGTAGTCTGCAATCTGTATCGCCCATGGATGTGCCTGCTGGCTCGGGTTTTATATGTGACAATCTCACTTGCCACTGTCCTCATTGGATTATATGACTTGTACAAGAATGTTCCAATTCTTAAGGCCACTGCATCTCATTTATTTGGCCCTTTTTTTGATTGGATAGAAACTTGGGACATGGTTTCAAGGATTAAATACCTAGGAACAATGTTGTTTCTGCACAATTTAAGAAAGGCTTTTGGCTGGTGTTTGGCATTGGCAAATGCAATACGGTCCTTTTTCACAATTCTAGTTCGTCCTCTCACAAAGCCATTGGTGATGGTCTTTGAATTTCTTCTTCCCACCTGGAACATTCTGTTTGAAGTAGTAGAAAGCATCTTCTATGCTGTTTGGGATGTGATTAATGCTCTGGGCGACATGGTAGGACTGATATTGGAGCTTCTCTTCACACCACTGTGGTTTATTGTCACTGTTGTTTGGAGTGTTAGTAAGTCATTTTATGCTTTGGACTTCTATATTGTCCTTCTTCTTTTTTAAATTACTGCCTTTGATGCTTAATATAAGAGTTAGATAACTAATTTGAGATTATTAAAGAAATTATTTAAATTAGTTATTTATAATAAACGAGTATAGATTTTCCTAAAATACTCTTGTTAATCATGTGTATTGGAACTATCTCTTAATAAAACCTTCTGACATGTACAATCAATAGGGATGTTTTGGGGAGAAAATTATTAAATTTAGGAACAAGGTGAACATTTTGTCTGGTTCTTATATTAAAAACTAGAGACAGTAGTTATTTATCTTACAAGTTCTACTACTAATTACTTATACATTATTGTTTGCAATGTCCTACAGCATCATCAGTCCTATATCCTATATTTTGGATTTCCCGTGAAATTGTATATGCTCCTATACGTCTACTTGTAGCAATGTCCAGTTTTATGGCTTCCACATTTAGTTGCATGGTTAATATACTTGGAGCTACATGGCAGTTTGTTAGTAGCATCTTCCAGCTTGCATCAACTTCTGAAGCAACAGCTAGCAGAAGTGAAGTTTCCATGTGGCGTGCTCTTTGGAAGGACCTTTTTTCCCAGGTTGTTAGATGGCACATTAGTGAGTTAAGGCTTCAATCTACTTATAAAGTATTTCGCCAAGGACATCTAACATCAAACTTTTCGTAAGTGTAAAAGTATGCATGAATTTTTTTAAATGGTACAAAAATATCATAACTATTAAGTCAATTAATGTTGGTTGTTTAGTAAAAATGTTAATCAAGAAAATGGTGCAAAAAAATATATGAAGTCTTCAAAGCGACGTAAAAATACCATGCCTGTTGGAAATTTTATGTGCATTTTTGCACCATTTTAATTTCTTGGTTGACATATTTTATAAACAGTCAAATTAGGTGACTTATTGATTGCGGTATTTTTGCACCATTTTAAAAATTTCATGTATACTTTTATATTCAATGAAAGTGTATGGTGTCCGGTGCCATTGGCGAGATACTTCATTGGTAGATTAATTTTCACCTTAACCCCACATTAATGAACTTTGAAATATGGTTGTTTTATGAAAGGAAATTATCCTGATTGCTGTATGTGAATTCATACATATTCCAGATATTCCGTGCTCTCAGGCTTATATTAAATGGAGTTGCTGAATTCCTTGCAGCATGTAACAGGCACAGACTAAGGTATACTTTTACTCAATTTTACTTGAAGAGAAGGAAGAGAGTAGGAAGAAAAGAGAGGGTAAGTAGAAGAAAGTTAGGAAACAGAGAGATAAGAGAGGAATTGGAAGTCTGGGTAGTACTCTTGTGTGAATTCACATCATAGCAATGCAAAACTAGCCCCTCCCTCATACGCGCGCGCGCGTGTGTGAGAAAGAGGTCGGATCCATGTTTAATTTTAGGTCAAAAAAAATCAGAAAACTCAACAGCCAAGATGTGGAATAATTGAGAGAGTTAATCCCCATAAATATAGGGTCAAAGTGACAATATATTAGGAAGGTGTGATTTCTGATATTTTAGGAAATTTTTCCTTAACATATTTCAGATGCTACGAAATATTCCTTTCTTTTTTCTTAATTAATAATCTCGCAATAAATACAACACTTGACAATATTCTAATTTAATTTATATATCTTAATTAGGGTGAGATCCTAATTAAAATGTCTCTGACAATCAAGGATGAGCCCAAACCCAAAGTCTAACATATACAATATAAACCCCATGTCTGATTGTAGCAGACCTCAACATCTCCAACAGTCCAACTAACCTAACCAACTCCATAAAATAACTAGCTCTGATTAACTTACTCCCATATATTATTATTCAAATAATAGAGAGCTTAATCATATATGGTGGTTTGTGAGAGTTGACTCTGCATACTATTGGCTTTTAGAAAAAGATTTTGAGTGGGAATTTATTTGGTCCTTATGTAATTTTGGCGAGATGATTATTCATTTAGATAAAACTTTAATACTGAGTTACCAGTGGTTTAATAGAAACTACTTACTAGTTTCTCAAACTTCACAAAAGTTAAATGAAGAGAATAGCAAATAATGGTTCAATAGTTGTATTGATGTCAGTCTTTTCTTATGATATATAAACTTGCAAAGATATAACCAACCTTTTTAGTCTCTTGTATTGTGCTTTATAATTTAATTTTATGAAGTTTTGTGATGCCAAAGTAGGGCTGAACAATGGGCGGGGTGGGCTAACCCGAAGGTTAGCCCATAACCCGCCCATTTATTCATAAATGGGCATGGGCTAACCCATAATCCGGTAGTAGTCCATTTAGCCCATATTAAATGGGCTGCGGGGCAGCCCGTTTGGGTTGACCGGGTTATGGGGTAACTCATTTATTTTTTTAAATTTTTTTTTCAGTATAATTATTTTATATATGTAACCTTATGAAGCTGTCAATAAATTTTGCATGCCAAATAGCAAATCAAATATGAAATAACATCAACCATATTCAATCACACAACCTCACTTAAATTCGCAAACAATTAAAGTCTGATAAAATCATAAAAATAGTCACCAATCATAAAGTCTCATAAACTTTGAAAGTTCCAACTTTTACCTAAAGGATAAAATAAAAACTTAGACAAGTATGAAGGTTTGATAAAATATGAATGCGAAACAATATCATCAATTAAATGAAGAATAAAAATATTTTTAAAAACTTAAAACTTAAATGGGCAGGTATGGGCAGCCCAATACCTTGCCCATAGCCCAACCCGTTTAATGGGCTACCCCGCCCATTTAAGCCTGCCCGTTTATAATATCTTATTTGGGCTAATTGGGTGGGCTTAAATGGACAAAAATTTCATGGGTCATGGGCGGGTTAGCGGGTAATGGGTTTGTTGCTCACCCCTATGCCAAAGCACGCTCACATACTAATTCTAAGGCAACACAAAGGGATACAGGAGAGAAAGATAAAAACAGAGGAGAGGAAAGGGAAATAGAACAGAAATTTCTTTAACACACTTGGAGGGTGTTTAGCAACCCTCAAAAGTGCTTCTGAGAAGGACTTTTCTGTAAAATGAAGTAAACTTTTCTATATATTTACTTCGTAAACTATAAAAACACTTCTAAAACCATGGTTTGGTTTCTATCCAAACACCCCCTTGTTCTATTTATAGGCTAAGGTTTCCTTCACTTTAAGGAAACCTCCCCTTGCTACGGACTTGCTGAAAATAGTTTTTAAAAAAAAACATATCCCACTTCTTGAAAAAATAAATTTGTAATTCTCCCCCAAACCAACCCTATTAATTGCAACCAACATGGGGTATTTTTCATGAGAGTATTTTTGAAAAATAAACATATTTTTTAATAAATAATTAATTTAACAAAAAATATGTAAATTAGCTATATAGAGTATCCTTTAAAAAAAACTAGCTTGCACTGAATAATAGGAATCTTCCTTTATAGCATTTTCGGTTAACATTATTTATATATTGGGAAGCATTTGGATTTGTTTCAGACTATAAAGTAGAAATGGTAATATGAGCCACCCAATTGAAGATTGATCGAAGAACCAGTGGGTTGGTCCTAAGAAAACCGAATGTTCAAAGCATTTGGATTTTTTTTTCATCTTTTTTTGTTGAAGAAAATGTATGTTAATTCCTAAATATCTAAAATAAAACATCAAAATAAAAGTTATATTTAATAAAACATCAAATTCAAATATCCCAAATTATTAAACATATACCACATCACAAATTGAAAAGGGAATAAGAAAAGTCGAAAGAAAAAAGAAAAAATTGAGGAAGGAGATACAAAAGAAGAATGAACAAGTTAAAAAAGCTCACTTTTCATATTTAAAAAAAAAAAAAAGTAATGTGGGCTGGTCTACTTCTTTTTGGTGGGTTAGTCTTGCGGAGTCAACTCATATTATCAATTCTACTGTAGGCTATTATAGCATTGAACCCTCCTCAATGCTCATCCTTAAGGGCAATTTTACTCTATCATGTTTTTCCAACTCTTATGTGAAGTACTACTAAATTACACTTCTCATACGTCAACGCTGGCTTCAATCTGCAGCTTTGATATTATCACATGTTTCTTTCTATTCAGAAATAGTTGTTATTTTCAAATTAAAAAAAAAAAAGCAACAGGGGTACATTCTTAGATGGTTCCTATAAATAATTAAAAGATTAAAACAATAATATACAAGTGGTGTCAAAAAGTTGGTCCTATATTTTGGCACTCATGTAAATTACACTGTTCAAGATTGCTTTTTGTTGACCATAAATTCCAAAATAATTCATCTCATTTATAAATCCACTCTTAAAATCTCAAGCTTTTAGAATGAATTAGTTCTTGCCACTTGGTGTGCTTCAACCACAATTAATTATTTCCTCATAATTTTTATATGCTAAATTATACAAAACCTCATGAACTTTATGTCACGTGTAATTAACCTTTCTAACCTTTAAAACTTTACAATAAACCTTCCTGAACTTTGATATTTATGCAAATAACTTTTACAGGGTTTATCTGAATATAACTCAAAGTTTAAGAGGATTATGTGTACATATAAAATTTAAGAGGTATAAGATTGATTAGTTTGGGGTTATTTGCATAAACTTGACATTTGGGGGTTTATTATTAAGTTTTAAAGGTTAAACAGATTATTTCTGCATAATTCTGAGTTTAAGGAAGTTTTATGTGATTTAGCTAGTCTACAACTACTTCATCATTGTCAATAGAGCAATATTATAGGGACTAACCACAACTTGGCATGATGGCATGCAGCATTTATCATCATATACAGGATTTTATCAGAGCATTATGTCACAAGTGCCAAGCATCACAGCAAATACATTTAAGAGACGGTAGAACAATTTGGGTGAAACAAAATCTGGTGAGGACCTTCAAATGTCTTAATTTTGTGATTTTGGCTTCTCATTATGCTCAACCTCATTTACTTAATTAAAATGTTGTTTCATGATGGAGAACCTGATACTCTTTTATTTAACGAAGTGTTTAAGGGCAATGGAAATTTGTTTCATCTCATGTGAGGTTTACTAATGAAAGGAAGGTTATTGAAAACAAGAAGAGAAACTTTATGAATTGAAGAAAGGGAAGGGGGAAAAAGCTTTGTTATGAGTGGGTGTTCTCATTGTTGTTCTTAGTAAATAATCCCTCATCCCTTTTAGACAGAATAACTAATACGCTACGATAAGCAAAATACAGTTAAAGTTAGTTGAATTAATAAATATGTTAAAAGTACAAATTTCTTTTCACAAATACCCTCATTTAATAATTGATCTCATTAATAAATACTCCCAACAAAAAGTCGTTGTTTCTTACAAATAGGATTAAGAGAACTCTTAAAAAAAATTTCTTATAAAAAGGACCGGAGGCCGGAGGGAATAATGAATAAAGGGTGCACTAAAAACTCACTCCTTTAGAAATGCTTGGAGAGCGGAGAGCCTGCTTGCTTCTTGGAGGCAAGGATTGTTTCCATTTTTTTTTTTTTAAGTTTGAAGTTTCTTTTATCTGTGGGCCCAACTACTTTGATTGTGGGAATTTCTATGTTTAAATCTCTCATGACATAACGGATCAATGTTCGGATCCTAACTGAGAGAAGTGACTACATTAATGCATGACTGTATCTTGAATAAAATTGTCTCTAATAGAAAAATACCTATACATAGCCCCAAAAAAATCCTTTTAATTGTCAACTCAAATACATAATGCATAAAAGAACTACATGATAGAAACTATATTATAAGCTACTAAGTCATACATCGAGCAGCATAAGTGCTCTGTGAGAAAGTTAACCAGAAAAGGCAACTTTGCAAAAAAGTTTTGGTCTTTGCGGGCTTGAAGGATGGTTCGCTATCCGACTTGAGTACCCAGTTATTATGGGTCTGTTTGGAACAGTTTATAAATAGCTTTTTAATAGTGATTTACGGAATACAAGACAAATATATAATAAAAGTTTTGTTTCGATTTACGTAAAACGTACTTATAGGAGATTTTTTAAGTCTTCCTAAACAGGCCCTATATTGAATCTGTTATATTGATATCACAGTACAAAATCTTAAGAGTGATAGGCAACAAGCAGGAAGGCAGTGGTTGCTTGTGTACTACTCCTTCTATCTCTAATGCAAGACTTATTTAACTGATTTAGTTAGATTAAGAAAGTTAGTTAATTATAAAATTTATGACATGTTTTTTTAAAAAAATATATACTATAATCATCTTCCTTAATATTCTTTCTCCCCTCTTCTACTTAACAATTACATACTACATTAAAAACTGGAGCGGTATTTGCTTGAATTTATGGGGGACAAAAAGTCTAATAATATGGGCTATGAGAGGTCATAATCTAGTCTCTGAGAATTTTCTAGTCATGTTTGGTCATTCATACAATGATTATCTGTATAAACCTATCAAAATGGGAGAATTGTGCGTGGCCCAATTGTTTTCCCCCCGCAACTCGAGGCATGAAAAATGGTATATTTTGAGCAAATATTTCTCACCAAGCACTACAGAGATGTCTTCTTCTTGTTTTTTTTTTCATAAGATAAAAGAAAATAATTCTTATAAGATTTAGGTTTTCCAAATTAATTGAATATTCAGTTTGCTAAAAAAATGACTATCACTTTTCACCCAAATTATTTTTAACAAAAATCTGGGACAAATTAAGGATTCGTTTAATGTTTTGAAGTTGTTAGGAATCCTTAAAACCAATTCTTGAATTCCATTTGCAGGAAGAGGAGAAGAGTAAAGTTGAATGAACCGGAAGTTCCGTCATTCTGTGGGATTGCAAGGTGCAAACTAATCCTAGACAAACTTGACATCAGATCAATGCAATTTACATTGAGTTTTAAGATTCTTTTGTTGGAACACAATTGTGATTCATTTCTTACTTGCAATATTTATTTCCATGGTTTTGTTTTCTTGCCAGCTTTTTTTTTCTTCCTATTTTCTTATGATTTTTGAGTTTCGTACTCGATAATCATCATCAATTGCATATAAAATGCACAGGGGACCTATAATTTATGACAGTTCCAAAAGTTACAATCTTGTAAATTGAAAAATGAATATGTCAAAATAAATCAATGTTTGCACACTTAACAGTCTCAAAATATTTAGCCATTAAATCTTTCTCTCCGTTTTTTTTTTTTTTTTGCTCTTGATATAAAGAAAACTAATTACTCAAGGATTAAATCCCAGCAAATCATTTTCGCAAATGTTCTCCCGTCAATCAGCAAGCATATTTGACTTTCTGGGTATACGTAGCAAGACCAAATCACATGCATATCTCATTAATGACCCAGCTTGCATAAACACAAAGCATATTCCAAAGCACCAATATAAACTTTCGAATCTGATTCTAGAACAACTTTTCTAAAACTAAACTCCCAGGCTAAATTTAACCCTTTTAAAATTGCTCATTCTTCAGCCTCTATAACACTACAGTCACCTATGAAATGAGAAAAATCAACAATCCAAGAGCTTTAGTGTCTCTAATCACACCATCACATCTTGCTTTCTTAGTAGACAAAGAAACGGCCGCATCAACATTGACTTTAACCCAACCACTAACTGGACGTTGCCATCCTGGTATGGTATTAGATAAACCTTTTGAAATTGAAGTAACTGGTTCAGAGGACTGTACATAATTTCTCCAAGTGTTGAAAACAACTATAGCAGGTTCATTTGGCTTCTGAAGATCTTCTTGAAACGCATGTTTATTTTTTCACTTCCATAATAACCAAAGTGAGACTCCTCATATAAGATTCCAATCCGTAGTCACAACAGCTCCCACATCATTAGAGAGATTCCAGGTCATCCATTCTGGTAAAGAGAGTGAGAAGAAATGAGATAGATGCCTTGGATGAACAACGTGCAGGGGGTGTTCATCAAGCCCGCTAGCCCGGTATGCCCGCTCGAGCCCATGAGAAAATGGCCTTGCCCATCCCGAAAAAAAAACTGCCCAAAGAAAAATGGGCATTTTTGGGCTGGGCATATTATGGGCAGGGCTGGGCTGCGGGCACAATATGCTGCCCTGCCCGTGATATATATATTTATAATTCTTTTTTTTCCAGAAATACTTATAATAATATATAATATATATATAATAATATATATTATTTTCCCTTCTTCCATTTGGCATAGATACATTTAGTGGCATGCGTAATTCTTCCTTCTTAGTATCTTTCTAATTTTTTTCTAATATGGTTTAGTATCTTTTAATTTGTTTTTATTGTTGGTTGTCTTGCAAGGATGCAAAAGCAAGCTCACTTTAATGTTATATTAAAAAATATATCAATTTAAGACAAATCAAAGTTATTGATTTGTTGAATTTATTGTTTATTCAAGTATTTATTCTTTTATAGTTATTATAAGATACCCTTATTTAAACTAAAAAAATTTTCACCAAGGTATCACTATTTGGGCTTAGAAGCCCGCCTTGCCCAGCCCGTTATTGCCCAGCCCGAAAATGGTTAAAGCTTCTGTGGGCAGGGCAGGGCAACGGGCCGCAAAATGCAGCCCGCTCATTTTTCGGGCTGGGCATCAGGCAGGAGGCATGCCCTGCCCAGCCCTGCTTATGAACACCCCTACGTGCAGCCACACTTCTTTTGCATACGAACAATCCCTTAAGATATGAAGAGTAGTCTCAATTCCAGCATCACAGTGAGAACAATTAAGAGAGCTTGTAGACCATCTACTCTTCCATTCTCTAGTAGGCAATCTACTATGAAAAGTAATCCATGAGAAAACACTTATTTTCTCAGTTCCACGCCACTTCCAAATATGCTTAGAAACAGAACTATAAGCATGAGAGTTGGTATTCTCAATCATTTGATAAGCACCCCATGAGCAGAGTTTTTCCATGTCATTTCATCATTTCCCGCACTGTCAAAAGTAGGGGTGCACATATACCAGACCAGACCGGGTTAATGCCTAACCCGAGGTCTGGTCTGAATTTATTTCGGGTTAGATATAATGGTCTGTAGTCTGGTCCAGTCTGATATGAACCTGACATCAGACTAGACCGGGTTTGGTCTTCCAGACTTGCAGACCAGTCTAGGTAGTCCATAATCATTTTTTTAAAATTTTTTTTAGGAGAGATAAGATTTGCCCATCTCCAAATCTGTAATCCGCTACGTCTTCAGCAGACTTCACACCATTCTCTCTGTTCCTCCTTCCTCTCTGCCTCTCTTACATTTTTCTTTCCTCTAGTTTTACTTAAGAAAAAAAAAACCCAGCCCCTCATTCGCGGAGTTGAAGAAGAAGGAAGAAGAAGAATATCAGTCCTTCACTCCTAGCACAAATCAAATCAAAAAGAAAAAAAAATGATTGAAGCTTCTGAACCCAAACGCACATGGATTTGGTAGAGAAGGACAAGAGACAACAGATCTAAAGAGAAGGAAAAGAGGAACAGTGTTTAGGCACTAGCGGCAACAGAAAAAGGACACGGCGGCGACGGAAAAAAGGCACGAGGTCAGCGATAGAAAAGAGGAAAAGCCTGCGCCTTTTGGAGTTTTAAGCACCAGCAGCGGCGATGATGATGAACGAAGGAAAAGGAAGAAGCTTTATACAATATTATTTGAAGAGTGGAGACTGAGACGGGAGAGAGCGTGGCTAGATAGGGATGAATCATTATTCATGAGATTGAGATCTGAAAGGGGGAGAATGGGCGAGTGTGAAGGTCTGAATAAGATTAAAAAAATAATTTAATAAATATATATTGGGCCGGACCAGACTGGACTAATTGGTCCTTATAGGCAGCCCGAAACCCGGTCTGACCTGACAATTCAGTCTGGTCTGGTCAGTCTAGTTATCTTATCGGGCTGTTTTTATCTTTATCAGGTTGGACCGGACCAGACCGGGTCATGACGGGTCAGACTGGACTTCGGGTTTTTTGCACAGCCCTAGTCAAAAGGGAGGGATTTGAGTAATCAATCTCTGCATCACTTTCTGATTAACCACGGTCTGCAAGCGATCATAATCCCAACTTCCAAACGTGGTCCAATCCACAGTCTCTCTCTTTTGCTTGAATAGAATGAGGTTCATGTTTTCTCAAGCCTGCTTAATAAGAATTTTTGCCTGCTAAATCCAATCACTGCTGCCTGATCTTCGGTTGTCGTTTGGGCATGGCCGGTAGGTGGAGCTCCTACGGTTGCGCTCGACGGTGAAGGAATTTTTTCCTTTTACTCGACGGCACTCAGATCATTTTACAGGAAAAATGGATACTTCTTGAAATTTACATATTTCGGTAGTAAATATGTCATTCTCCCTATGTTAAAAATGTTTGGTAGGGAATAGAAGGGAAAGGATTTTAATAAACTCTTTCAAAACTTGAAGCAGAGTCTTAAAATTTTAATGAAGAAAAAGTATAAGATAAAAAAGTAATAAAAGTTAATGAAAAGCCTTTTTTTTCAGGGAAAACCAATCTGGCAATCCTTATGATTTTATTAGGTTTTGAATTAGGTCCCTCAAGTTATTTTTCGTTTTATTGAATCCTCCTATTTCATTGTGTTCAAGGGGTTAGTCCTTCTGTTAGTAAATGCTACAAACGCTGTTAGTGTATACTGATAGAAGGCGACGTGGCATATTGAAGAAGCTGCCTGTCCATTGTCCAATACTTACTCTCCCGCCTAGTAAAAGATTCTTGGATTTCCCCAAGCATGAATGGTCCCAAGGGATGGGCGTCTCTTCTTTCATCGGCAATTCTAACATGCTTCTTTGTTTGCTCTGAGTGGTGGTGGTACGAGTTGATGATTATGTTGTGCGGGCTTCCGGTGAATTTGAAAGCGACCATTGCTTCCATGGGAATCCTCATCCAAACAACCTCTTTGGTGTTCACAAGGATGCGTAACAAACTGGTCGCGCATCGGTCGATAAAAGCCTGCATTTCCATGATTGTGTCTATGTTCTACGCTGTGGGCCGAGGCCTAGCAGTCCTGTTTTTCACGATCTTAGTGAGGCAACAATGGGGTCGATTCTTCATTGCCAACAAGGAGATTCTGAAGCTTACTGTCATAACATTGCCAATTGCCGGAATGTTCAACATCAAAGATGAGACGTTGATGGAGAAGTGAAACAAGTTGAAGGAGACTTCTTCCCCATCTCAGCATTATTGAACCAAAGAT